TGATTATTATGATAATAATAATTATGATAATAGTAATGATAATAATAACAATAATAATAATGATAATAATAATAATAATAATAATAATAATAATAATAATAATAATAAAACGAAGATAGCAAATCATACAAAGAGAGAATGACAGAGGAGAAAAGAACTGAATGGATAGAAAAACCTCTCGCAGGGCAATACCATCGCCAAGTACAAGAAATCCAGGGCAAGAACAGCTGGAACTGGTTAAAAAGAGGAGAAATAAAAAAAGAAACGGAGGGACTAATAACATCAGCCCAAGATCAAGCTCTAAGAACCAGAGTAATAAGAGCAAGAATAGAAGGTAGAGGGGGAAATACAAAGTGCAGAATGTGCGGCCAAAAGGATGAGACCATAAATCACATCACCAGTGAATGCTCCAAATTGGCACAGAAGGAGTATAAAAGGAGGCACGACAAAGTAGCCACAGCAGTACACTGGGCACTTTGCAAACACCACAAACTCCCTAGTATAGCAGACGTATGGTACAAGCACGAGCCACAGGCAGTAGTAGAAGATGAAAACACAAAATTACTATGGGACCAATACATACAAACAGACCAAGAGGTCCAAGCTCGAAGACCAGACATAGTAATAATAAGAAAAGACAAAGAAGAATTTGACATTATAGACATAGCGGTACCATACGATTCCAGAATAATGGAAAAAGAACGAGAAAAAATAGAAAAATATCAAGATCTTAAGTTCCAAATGGCAAGATGTTGGAAGATGAAAGGAAAAGTAATACCAATAGTGATAGGAGCATTAGGAGCTATGCCACCAAAGCTGGATGAATATCTAAAAAGAATTGGGTGTGACAGAATACATCCTGGCCTAATACAAAAAAGTGTGTTACTCAGCTCAGCTGGAATATTAAGAAGAATCCTCGACACTTAGGACACAAGCAGTGCCCCGTGAAGAGTCTCAAAAATAAAGACAAGAGAAAAATACCAGTAACATCAACTGTGAAACTAGTATAATAATAATAATAATAATAATAATAATAATAACAATAATAATAATAACAATAATAATAATGATGATAAAATAATAATAGTAATAATAATAGTAATAATAATGGTAATGATGATAATGATAATGATTTTGATAATAATGAAAAATAATAGTAATGGTAATAATAAAGATAATAATAGTAATGATAATAATAATAATAATAATAATAATGATAATAATAATAATGATAATAATAATAATAATAATAATAATAATAATAATAATAATAATAATAATAATAATAATAATAATAGTAATGATAATAATAATGATAATAATAATGCTGATGATAATGACAATAATAATAATAACAAAAACATAAAAAACAACGACTTTAATCATAATGATAATAACGATAATGATAATGGTAATGATAATCATGATGACAATAACAATAATGATAAGAGCAATAATTATAATGATAATAATGATAAGAACAACAACTATAATACTGATGAGATAAAATATATAAATACCGATATAATAAACAAATATAAACACTGATATAATGAATAACTATAAATACTGATATGATAAATAAACAACAAATATGATAATGATAATGATAGCAATACTACTGACAATGATAATGATGATAATAACAAGGATAATTAAAGTCGTTATTCACTGCTAATGTTGCCATAGTATTGCATTTTGATATATTTATTGGTATCAGATCAGATAGTGAAAGAAAAAGAAAAAATACATTAGATATTTATATCTAATGAATTAGGACTACATGTCTATTATATTCTACAATAAACTAATTTATTTAATTGGTGAACTCACATAATACTAAGTAAGGATTTGAAATTACTTTTAATAGGTTCTTAGGCGTTTTATCTGTATATTGTAAATGAAAACTAAGAGTAATTTTACCCCCGTATCCCCCCAGGCGCCGATGTAAACAAACCTACTTCTAAACTTCCTTTGCTTCTGCTACGGCGAACAAGTCCTCTTTTTCGTATTTTTTATGGTGAGTTGTGCATTTTTATACTTGAATTTGAAATTTTAAGAAGAGTGTTGTCACTATACATAATGTTTTGTGTGAAGATATTTTTTAAATGTGTATAAATAAGGAAATATAAACGGGGTTTTGTGGAGTAGTACTAAATTCGGCTATTGGTTATTGACAAGAAAGTAATGATTATTTCGTAGGATAAAGTCTCCTTATTTTGGATTTAACTGCATTAATAAGATCAAAGTTAGAACTAAAAAGAGACGAAAAAGCTTTTTAGATTTTTTTTTTTTGAGAAGTAACGTTAATAGCTCGTTTTAAAGAACTTATATTACTCCCTATGCAAGTTATTTCCTTTGTTTTATTTTCATTAATTAATAATAGTAATAGTAATTATAATAGTAATTGCTTTAATAGTAATTGCTCAGAATAGGACTACATGAAACAGCACTATAGCTTCCATGCTTTACCGTACGATTAACCCAAAGCCACAGGGGA